TCTCCAACAAGACATGTGCCCTGGGTCACATCTCCAGGAAGGGAGGGATTGTAGGGTGCCCCTTCCTCACCACGTGGCCTCCAGGATGGGTCAGAGAGACAGACTGCTTTCATGGTGGGCCACGCTACCCTGGTGTCCTCACACGCTCTGTGCCAGCCAGCTGGCAGGATCCCTGCTCCTCTCACCTCTGAGGCCCTCGGGCAGCTATGCCTGAACAGGTACCCCACTCCAGATAAGATACCAGGAACCAGGGGGCCTGGGCTGGAGGGGAGCACAGAAAGAGGGGTGATGGTACCCACAAAACACAGCAAGAGATGATACGTGCCAATGGTTTTAGGAAGTGCTGATCTCCTTTATCCACACAGCAAGCCTAGAAGGTCAGTGTGAGCATTAGGCAAACAGAGAGGAAGTCACTTGGCTAAGGATAATCAGCTGGGGACAGGCATCCTAGAACTCAGTCAGGCGACCCCACGCTGGGGCCGCTCTTTAAACCCTGGGGCACATGCCTCATGTCACTGATGGCTGTGGCAGGGTCCCCAGGTCCTCTCAAGAGCTGCAGAGACCCAGATGGCTGGAGTTCTTGCCCCACGCCTGCTTCGATATCAAGGCCTGGCCTCGGAGCCAGAGCTTCTGGTTTCTGAGACCACATTTTTAAAATTTGTTTTCATTTTCTTTTTTTGTCTTTTTAGATGTAGTTTCACTATGCAGTGCAGGCTCACCTTCAGCTCACTTTGTAGCCCAGGCTGGCCTCAGACTCACAGTGATCCTCCTGCCTGAACCTCTCAAGTGCTAGGATTACAAGCATATACCACCACTCCTGGTTTCACATTTTGTTATGTTGTTTGTTCAGTTTCTTTGCTAAGAGTGCCATAGTTAAGAATGTAAACTCATGAAATTAAAAAAAAAAAAACTAATGGATGAGCAGGGGTCAAAAACAGAATTATACTCCCCCAGATTAGTGTGCTGAAGTCTTAACCCCAGCACCTGAGAAACTTGTATTAGAGATTGGGCCTTTAAAGAGGTAATTAAGCACCATGCTAGGTGGCACACACCTGTCATCCCAGCACTTGGGAGGCTGAGACAGGAGGATCACAGTGAGTTTGAAGCCAGCTTGGGCTGCTTAGTGAGTTGAAGGCCAGCTTAAATTACAGAGTTAAACTATCTCAAAAAAAGCTTTAAGAAAAAAAAAAGAGGAAATTAGGCAAAATAGCCGTGTAAGGGAGCTCTGAGCCAATCTGACTGGTGTCCTCGTGAGGAGATTAGACACACAGAGAGATGCCAGGAATGCACACACACAGCGGAGGTCAGCCCTGTGCACACCATAATCTTGCATTTCTGAGATCTGTTGTGTAGACCAGCCGATCTGTTGCCCACTGTGATGGTGCCCCAAGCACATGAATCCAGCAGATGGCTGAGCGTGGCTGCCCATGGGCCCAGCAAGCTTCCCTGAGAGCCTGTGAAGAGAGCAGGCCTCTGGCCTCTGAAAGGAGCAGGGTCTCTCCCCATCAGGTGATTACAATCAGCAGACTGTATCTGTGCCAAGGTCAGGGCCAGGGTCTGATTCATCACCAACGGGAAGAACCATGAGTGGAGAAGGAAGTCCAGAATGTCCCATGTGCTTGGCAGTTGCCAGCCAAAGGCCGACAGAGAAGCAGATATTTCTAGAATGTTCTTAACTCTGTCCTGGTATCAGAGCTTCTCTTCTCCCACAGCAGACACGCCCCTTTCTCTGTAAATGGGTCTCTCCTTCTGATCTGTGGACTTCTTTTATTTTTTAAAGATCACTCCAGTCCACGAAACTTTGGAGATCTCTTCTGTTGCTCACCTCAGAAAGGGCAGGGAGGAATGGAGAGAGCCAGCGATCGGAGAGGAAGCTCTTTCTGGGTGTCAGCTGTGGTCACTGACCATCTGAGACAGCTCCCCGCGGTGACATGGAGAGTGGAGAACCCCTGAAGTCACCTCCGTAGGTGACACTGATCATTTCAGGAGACACAGAGACTACGTTTTCCTCATGAATGGCTTCCCACATGGCTCACTCTCCAAGTGGCAACCCACCTTCTTTTCATAGCTTCCTTCCCCATTCTTTTCTGACTAAAATTTGATCTGCAAGCATTCAGATAAGAGGGATTGGCGAGTCACTGCCTGGCTTCGGGTGTCTCCTTTTCTGAAAGTCTCATGTTCTACAATCACCTTAAGAAAGCACATCCATCTTGACTGATGGCAGTGAGAGTCCAACACACAAGGCTCCTTGAGGACAGGGAAAGAGAATTTCCAGACCGAGAATATAAATATTCAAGAAGGAAGCGCTGGAGAGAGGGTAGCTACAGCAATGGTTAACAAAATCCTTTTTCATGTTATAATTTAGATAATGAAAAATGTATGTGGTTTTAGACATTATGGTAACAGTGACACCTATATCAACAAAGAGAACACAATATAATGACATGCTTCTGTGTCCTTAATACATATTAATACATACTAATAAAAATAAAGCACAGGAGTCATTTTAGGATATTACAAAAATATTGCTCAATGCTTACTGTAATAGTGATGTATATAACATCCTAAATCATAATAGTTAACTTAAATAGTAACAAATCTAAATAGTAATTTACCTAAGTAATTTAATAGTGAATTAGTCATTAAGTGAATTAATTAGTAATTTAAACTACACAATAGCTTAAATAGTAAATATTTAAGTTATAGTATAGTATGCAAATTATAGTACAGGCCACCAGCTAAAATAAAAATCACTGGATTCTACCTAGATGGTATTCCCTGCATTGGCACGGTATGAGCCAAAGAACAAAAGCAGCACGTATTTACGCCACCCATGGGTGAATTAAACTACCCAAGTGCCTGCAGCATGGATTTCAGTGGTAGGGTAAACATAGTGTCTTTCCATAATACAGATTATTCTGGATTGAACTGGCCAAGCAAAATTGGCTGTTCAGATCTAAATATTGTATGATTTTAAAGAAATCTTATAATTGAAACTGAAAAAGCCATGGAATATCTCAACATTGTGCCTGTTCTGAGAGCTTTTACTTAGCACATAATTGATTTTTAACTTGAACTTTTGCTTACTACCATACAGTTGATTTTTCTGGGTTGTAGTGAGCCTATATATTTATAAAGTTATTTGGTAGAATTATAAAACCAGCTTCCACAGGAAATTCTATTACCATGAAGATGGACTTATATTTTTCTGCAGCAAAATTCACTTACACCAACTTACTAAAGTTTGGTTATTTTCATTAGCGTTTATATTTGCCTTTTAGAATTACCATAAAATCTAGAATCACATTTATAGATCAAATGACTCTTTCAATTTGTGATTTTCTTAAAATGCAACCATTACATTCATCTTTTTTACATAAAGGACTTTGTGGATGGAAAATATATTATTATTGCTATTTTTGCAAGCACATAACTATAGTTCATATTTTTCAGATGAATTTATAAACTAAGTATTGATGCCCAAGAATATTATTAACTTGAAAAACCAAATATATTATTATTAAATAACTTTTGAGTGAGGATATTAATTATAATCAGCCATAATTTTTCAGTTCATGCCCAAGTGCCAGGTTCTCCATTTATGTGCTCTCGTCTCCCTCTCTTAACTTACTCATTCAGCAAACATGCAATATGCCCCTGCTGTGTGTCTAGCACTGTGCTAAATGCTGAGCCTGCAGAGACGAGTGAGGTAGGGTTTCTGTCCTCAAAACACTTCACTGATCCAAGCAAGCGAAGCAGGAGTAAACACTGGGACAGTTTATAGGAAAGAAAGCAAAAGCACAGACCAAAGTCACATTTTTTTCTTTGAGTTGGAGAAAATGTACAAAAACCACAAATCAGAAGACGAGGGTACTTGAGAGAGGGAGAGCAGTCAATGGAGAGGACCAAGGGCCGCGAGAGATATAGCAAGAGTCAAGCATGGACCAGATCAGGGCTTCCACTTGTGTGACAAAAGCCCTAAGAATCCACATAACCCAGAAGCAATGAGTTACTGTCCCACCTACCCCCAAGACTTGCCAGTGATTTGCTATTGAGATGAAGGTGGGTCTCTATATAAAATCAGAAGGTGACCGATCTGATTCTGAAAATGTAATGCATTGGGCATTCACCACATTTTGTGTGTTCAAACCATACAGAGGATACTGAAGCAACAGCTGGAAACAGGTGACATCCCCTTAAAAGCCAAGAAAAGCAAAGAGACAAAAGTCACTAAGTGTTACCAATACCAAAGAAACAAAGACACTGAAGTTAATGTAGAAGTCTGATCCACTTGGTAAGTCTGTTCCCCATCCTGAGAAATATCTATGAGCCTGCCACAGTAATATTATAATTTAGTGATTGTCTACTAGGTACCAGGCACTCTACATGGCACCTAGAGGTTAAGTGGAAAAATGAGGCAAAATCACTGCTTTTGTGTAGCTCGTGGGCTTTGTTTAAGCCAAAATTTTCAACACCAAGACAAGTACTTTATCTTAAAGTGCTGAATGCTTACAGGAGGGAATCTGTTCCTCCGAGGAGGATTAGAGAAAACATCTCACAGGACACCCACCCTTGAGAAACCCAAAAGATTCTTGCATCCAGCTAACTGGCCCTCCACTTGTCATTCATCATACACGTGCTGAGTATCTAAAACAGACACTGTACACGCAACAATGAGTAAGAACAAGGTCCTCATTCGTGAGCTGTACATCCTGGTGGGACAGGTGACATTCAGCTGCTTTCTCTCCACCACCATCTCCATGCACTTTCTTACAGAGACCAAAGTGCCCCAGCCAGTCTACCCCAACTATTTCAACACTTTTAGAAATGAAGCTCTAATCATGACACTAAAATGCCAGAGCCATGCATCCCATCACAGGGGGACCAGTCCAGAAAGCCTCACTCAGATCAAACCAGGTTCTGAAAATGCAGAGCCAAGAATCTGTTTCAAGAGCAAAAGCGAGACTTTAGATGCCCACTTGGACCTGAGACACTCTTACCTTACTGTCCTTTGCACCGGTGCCAGTTCTCTTTTCCAAGAAGTACATGGAAGCAATGGTCTCTTTGCAAACCCTAGGAAGAACTTCCAGGACCCGGCATCTAGACAGCAGTGAACCAAGGGGCTCCTGTTCTTTGCTTTTTCCTTGGAGCTTGTGCCTTCAGACCTGAAGGTCCTTTCCCCAGTGCCTACTGCCAGAGTCACACAATAATTCACAGTGTGATGAGCTGCACGATGGCCAGGGCGGCTGGGTCTCTCCGTGGTGGCCACTTCCTGAAAGAAGGCTCAATTCTTTATGTCCTGTCCAAGGAGGAAGTGAAGACTCTGGGGTCATGCCTCTATTTCTGCAACAGCGACGCCTCTGCAAAGGGGAGCATGCACTTGATGTCCCTTCCGCGCTGTGGACCCACGTTATCACAAAGATCACAGGGAGAGTATCTCTGGAGACAGCTCAAATGTCTTCCCCCCAGAAACATGAAGGAAAAATGTAAGTGACTGGAACCAGTGGTTTTAACCCAAACTGACCATCAAAGATCTCAAATTAGGGCTGGAGAAATGACTGCAGTTTTATAACCAAGATAAGAAAAAGGCAGTTAGGAGCTTCTCCAAGGCACACTTGGAACCATTCTGAAAATTCATCCTTCCTGTTTGCCAACACGGCTGCCTAAAATCCCGCAAGTTGCTAATTATGTACAAGTTACACACCAGCATGTCTTCATATTTATAGCTTTCATTTCTCTCTGAAGTTGTTCGACTAACATATTTGTTGTTAAAAATGTGAAATACAGATAAGCATAAAAGAAAAGAAAGAAAGTGATTCCCCTGTAATACCACCAATTGAAGATGATCACTGGTGGCACTGTGGTGTGTATTCTTCCAGTCCTTCAGCAGGGGAAGATGAGACAGCTATGAGACCCAATTTCTCAATGTCCATCCCTTTCCATACCACTGGGGGAACATCCAACCCCTATACCAGCACGAGACCCTGCTCTTGAAACAGTGTTTTTTAGCACGCACCTCCCAACCCAAGACCTAAGCCAATAAATGCCCAGCATTAAAGGCACATGATCAAGATGGTCCATTGAGAGAGAAGCCTTATGCTTCTCTGGGTCTGGGAAAGTTGTTCCTAAATGCTGTTGGCCACCATCTTGCCTAAGAGGAAATGCCTTTAATTGAAGCAGAATTTTCAAGGAAAAAAAAAGATACAGTATTTTAAAAACTGGTCTTTAGAAAGATTTCTGAGCTCTTAAACTAATACCAAAACTTGCTTCTGGAGCTTGTAGTTTTATAAATCAGTCAATTCTGGAAGCCAGTTTAAATTGAGTTTTCAAGTCCTTGTATCTAAATGCACCTTAAATTTTATATATATGAAAATGCATGGCCTCATTTTTTACATACACATACAATGCACAAGAAGACAAAGCAACTTACATATAAAACCACTAATGTTAAATAATTCAGGGGTTGGGATTATAGATTTTTGGGGATTATGAAATTTTAATATTGATTTTTTAAAATTTTATTAACCAGAATTTTTTTAAAGACTGTAGATAGTCCTGACTTGATAACTTGCAGTACCTTAGAAGTTTAAGCACTTTCTTTCTTTCCCCCCCACCCCTTTTTTTTAGTAGTTCCTTTCACTTAAAACTGTAATGAAAGATAAAGGGTGCAAATATTAAAATGGATGGACTTGTCACTAATTCTAACAGGACTGGTTCACTCTGGAACTATGTTATCAATAGTAAATGTGTGGTACTATTTGTAAGAGGACAGTATGTAAACATCAACTAGTGCTTTCTTACTGTTTTTCTTTGAACGTATGTATTACTTCTACCCATTTTTTGTTTTGTTTAGTCTTTCTTTAAATAAAATTTTTAAAAATCCAAAAAAAAAAATAGTAAATGTGTGTTTTATAGCAACTAATGAACCTACACTCATTGACATTCATACATTTAAATTTTTTTTGTACAGGGGATCAAACTCATGACCTTGTGCTTGCCAGGCAGGCACTTATGCCACTGAGCTAAATCTCTGGCCCTTAATTTTAGATATTCATTTTTAATCATTTCTAACAAGGTTACTAGAAAACTATTACAGGAATATCTACTAAATCATGAGGAATAATATGTAACATGAAGCATAAGATATTGTTTTTCCCATAAAGGGAACAATCTCTAAAAGACTTCAAATGTACATAAAACCAAAAGTTCTTATAAGATTTAAATGTTTATTCATTTGTGCCTATAAATGTACAAATAAACTGTACTTTTAAAAACACATTTATGTGTCTCATGCATATAAAACGATCTAAAATGATGCACATCAAATTAATAATAATGGCTATTTTCCATCAAGGGCACTGGCTTAGCTTGTGGGGCTGCTAAGCCTAACCCCACCCCTACCTGCTCTCACCACTGGGGATCGAACCCAGGGTTTCATGGATGCTGGACAAATGCTGTCTCACTGAGCTATATCCTCATCTCTTCTTATTTTTTATTTAAAGACAAGGTCTCACTAAGTGGCTTGTACTGGCCTTGAACTTGAGTCCTCCTGTTTCAGCCTCCCAAGTAGCTGGAATGCCACTGTGCTAAATGACAAAAAAACAAAAATGACATATAAATCATTTTGCAACCAAGTTCATATATTGAATTTATAATGAGAACAATTTTAACATTTTAAAGAAAAAGTGGGAAAATTAAATAATCTTTGAATGAAGAATCTACACCTTGTAAATTTTTTCAGGGATATTCTATAACTATCTGATAGGAATAAATGTATTCAATAAGGTGATTTCCATTATATGTAGTAGAAAACCCCAGTCACAGAAAAATTCTTTTTTGTAATGAGAAAGGAGCCATAGACTACAGGGCTGGTTATTTGGTTATGCCCAGTGCAGCTACTGGGGCCAAGGCCTTTTGGCCCTTCTGCTACACCGTCCTCAGCACTGGCTGACTGCCTCATCCTGGGCCCCTAGCAGGATGCCCACAACCATTCCTGGACCTTATCTCACTGAAGGGACTTCAGTAACCTCCCGAGATTGGGACGTTTGTCCCAGAACACCCAGTGCCTGTGCTCCCTTTAGCCTCACTGGCTGGATTCATCACCAAGCCCTGTCCTGAGCCAGTGTGGCAGGAGGAAAGGAAATCCCAGCTCCACCTGTTCTAATCATCAACCCCTAGCCAGGAACCCAGAGGAAGGGGCGAACAGGAAGCCTTCCTAGAAACTGTCTGTTAGATATGTTTACAAGTTAGAAAAGTCAGTATCAAAATCTCAATTCTCCCCAAACAGATTTACATAGTCAATGCAAGTGCAATCAAAACCCTAAGAAGTTTTTTTTTTTTTAATAAAACAAGCTGATTCCAAAATTTCTGTGGAAAATCAAAAGACCTAAAAGAGTCCAATCAATTTTGGAAAAGAAGAACAGAATTGGACAAATAACACTACGATTTAAGACTGACTGAAAGCATGGTTTTGGTGCAAGGGTAAACCTACAGATCAATAGAACAAAGAGAATACCAGAAAAAGACGCAGGCACATATGGTCAACTGCTAACAAAGGCACCAAGGTAAATGGACAGCAAATGAAGAATCTTTTCAATAAACACTGCTGGAACAATATATGCCATATGGAAAGAGAAAGAGAGAGAACCTTGACCTGTATACTGAGTTATGTATAAAAGTTCAACTTAAATGGATCACAGACCTAAATATAAAACCAACCACTAAACAACTTCTAGAGGAAAATCAGAAAAAATTCTTTACAACCTTAGGCAAATGTGTCTATATAAGACATCAAAACTCAAACCATAATGGATAATGTGTAGCTTTTAAAATTGCATTTGATTTTTCAAATGATAAAGAATTCGAACAAACATTTCTTCAAAGAAAACATAGAAGTCACCAAGAGGACATGACAAGATGTTTCACCACTCCAGTCATCAGGGAAACGCAAATCAGCCCCAGGACAAGACACTGCCTCACACCCTCTAAGTTAGCCAGGATCAGAAGGGCAGGTGGTGCCCACTGCTGGCAGTGCTCAGAGAAGATTAAACACGGAACTGCTATGTGAACCTGCATCTCCACTCCCAGTCTGTGTCTGACACAGGAAATCACATCCATGCAAACCCTTGTACATGAATGTTTACAGCAGCATTATATATAATACCCAAAAGGTGAAGACAGTCCCAGCATCCATTGAATGAAGAATGGACAAACAAATTATAGTATATCCAGGGAAAGGAATATTCCTGAGCCAGAAAAGGTATGAAGTTCAGGAGGCTAAGGCAGGAGGATTTTGAACCCAGGAGCTCAAGACAGCTTGAACAACATAGGTAGACTTTATCTTAAATTGGAAAAAAAGAAATAACATTGTGATCCTTGCTACAACATAGATGAATATGGACAAACATTGAATATATTTTGCTAAGTGCCAGAAGCCAGAAACAAAGGTCATATATTGTATGATTTCTTTTCTATGAAATGTTGAGTGCTCACTTTGGCAGCAAAATACTAAAATTGAAATATCGAGAATTTGAAAATCTATAGGGACAAAAAGAAGACTGGTGATCACCAGACTTAGGGGGAAAGGAAAATGAACAGTGACCTCTGATAAATATGGGCTTCTTAGCACAGACAGGAGAATATTCTGTAATTAGATTGTGGTGCATAAATTATATCTCAACAAATCTGATTTTTACCAAAAAACCTAGATTATGTTACTCTACCTCTCCCGTCTTAAAAAAAAAAAAAAAAAAAAAAAAACTACATCAAAACTTACTAAAAGAAATTTAGAGAGAGTCTCATAAAGGAAAAGAAAAACATGCTATCTTTACTCCCTCAAAAATATATAGTCTTTCTATTCCAAAATACAATCAAGCATGCACACATCACCAGTTATGTAAACATCTTTCACAACAGACTACTTACTTTTTATGAGCAGTTAATTTTGCTAAAATTGTCTCTCCTAAACCCAAAACAAAAATGAAAGAAGAAAGGGAACTGTTAGAGAAGAGGCAGAGACTACGCCGTGGGGGAGGAGGGACCGGAAGGAGCGAGGGTCACAGAGATGAATGATTGAAGCATGTTATCTGTATGTACAAATGTGTCCAAACAGAACCCTCCATTCTGGTGGACTAATGTGCACTTTAAAAGCAAAGAGCTGGCTTTGGTGGTGCACGCGTGTGAGCCCAGCCCTCCGGGAGGCTGAGGTGGGTAGACCACAAATTCAAGCCAGCCTGGGTAACTAAGTGACCTAACAAGACCCTGTTCCAAAACAAAAAGAATACCAAAAAAGAGGTGAGGATGTGGTTCACTGCAAAGGCTCTGCGTTTAATCCCCCGGTATTGAAAGGAGAAGGAGGAGGGGAAGGAGGCGGAGAGAAGATTGTGTGTCCTGCCCCTGCAACTTGATCACATTTGCTTCAAAGCTGGTGACTCAAGGATGTTTTGTCACCTTCCAAAACCCCACCTCTCAACACTTGAGACTTTGGGGGAATCTTTCAGATCTAAACAAGGACCAAGACAGATTTCAGACCACGTGAAAATAAAAAGTGAATTCCAGTAACTAGCAACACAGATGTGGTGTTTTTTTAGGCTTCATCCGAGGAGTCACAGGGATGTGAGGGCAGCTTGTTCACTGGCTCACACGACAAATCCAAGAAGCAATTAGCTGCTAGAATATCGAAGTTATGAAACCAGAAAATGTGCTGTCTGCTGAGTTCCTGCAATGCTCCTACTCTTTGAAACTGCTACTGAAACCTGTATTTCTCCCTTCCTTATCACTTAACAGATGTTCACCAGGTGCCGACTTGTGCCGGGCACTGACTGAAGCACCAGAGAGCCAAAAATGATCAACACAGAGCTGTTCTCCTGGAACTGAGTGGAAAAGACAAACAGCAAGCAAACTATCAAACACGTAAGAAGTCTACCACATAGTAAGCAGAGTTCTGCAGAGAATTTGAATGGAGCGAGGTCACAGCAAGAAACAAGATAGTTCCTTCAGGGTGAACCGTGAGAGAGGGCCACCCTAGGAGATGGTGACAAAGGACAAGGTGGTGCAAAGCCCTAGGGCAGGAGCAGACTTGGCAAGTTCAAGGAACCGTCGGAAGTGCAGTGTGGACAAGGAGAAGTATTTGAGAAGACACAAGAAAGGAACCAGACTGTGTGGGGCTTTTTAACCTAGAGTAAGGTGTTTCTTTATGGCTTCATTTGTTTTGATTTTTTTCCTCCAGTATAGCAGCCAGCATTCGACATGGACCCCAATGTCCTAACTGCCTGGTGTTCGTGCCCTGGGTAGATGGACCCTTTCACACTGCTTGGGGCTGTCTCACACTGCAGCTTCTGCCTTTGTGTTCCAAATCCTTTGTGTTGGGGGAAGCCAGCACCGATCTATGAGGCCAAGTATCTTAGTTACTTTCTCCTTGCTGGAACAAAATACCTAGTAGCTACAAATTAAAGGAGCAAAGGTTTATTTTAGCTCACGGTTTGTAGAGGTTTCAGTCTATAGTCAGCTAACTCCAAGGCAGGGCGTCATGGCAGAGAAGAAACAATGAACAGTGAGCCTTCCTTTCCCTTTTTATCCCATCCAGACTACAAACCCATTGGTTGGTGTCACACACACACAAGGTAGGCTTTCCTGTTATCCACATCCAAAACTATGCTAAACCAATCAGTGGACTAATCAGTTACCACACCCATAATCTAGTATCAAACAGCCACTTCCCGAAAGGTGATGTCCTATGAGAACATCTAGATGTAAACCTCCACACCAAGCAAGCCCATAGGCAGGTCTATGAGCTAAGGAACAAATTTGCCAGCAGTAATTTGCCATCCAGGGGAGTAAGCCACCTTGGAAATGGCCCTCCAGCCCTAGGAAAGCCTTCTCCTAGGTAATTACAACATTATCACATTCAAGAAAATTAACAGTCATTCATCACATCCTTTAGGATACAGCCTCTATTGAAATTTCACCATTTTCCAACAAATGCCTCTCCAAGCCTCTGGATTTAATTGTAATAATAATCACAACAAGTTTTAAGCAAGAGGGCGGCATGGTCTGATTTGCACCTTTAAAGGCTTACCCTGGTTTCCAGTAGTGAACAGGTTAAGGAGCTCGGTTTCCCGAGGATGCCGTGACGCTAACACAGACTTGGTGACTCACAACAACAGGAAGTCACTCTCTGTGGTCCTTGAGTTCAGAAGAAGGAAATCAGTTTCACTGGGCCAGAATCCAAGTGTCAGCAGGGCCATGCTCCCCCAAGGCTCGGGGGCAAATCTGTTTCTAGCCTCTTCCAGCTTCCGGTGGCTCCTTAGCTGTGACTTCTCTGCTGCTTCTGTCATTACATGGCTTTCCCCACTGTGACAAAGCTCCCACGCTTCCTCTCTTACGGACATTTGAATTTTTGTATTTTTGTTTTGTTTCATTTTGGTTTTCCAGCATTGGGGATTGAACCCAGGTGGTCTCCCTCAGCTACATCCCCAACCTTGCCATTTTTTTGTTGTTGTTGTTTAATTTTGAGACAGGGTCTGACTAAGTTTCTAAATTGCCTAGGCTGAACTGGAACTCACGATCCTCCTGCTTCAGCTTCCCAGAGTGCTGGGATTAAAGTGCCCATCTGATACCCAGCTATAAGGACATGTGATGGCAATTAGGGACCACCTTGATAACCCAGCATAAGCTCTGTACCTGAGATCGCACCTGCAAAGATCTTTTTTCCAAATAAGGTAACACAGGTCCTAGGGAACCGACCCTGATGTTCTGGGAGGTCATTATCCAGCCTCCTGCAGGGGTCAAGAGTGGAACCGAGGTCACCTTGGCAGTCATTGCCCACCATGTCCAGGCAGGAGATGTCTGATTCTTGGACCAGGATGCTGGCAGTGGAGAAGCACGTGGACAGGTTCAGGGTAAGTTTCCGAGCTCCAGTAGCTCACAGACTCCGTGGAGAAGTGTGACACACGGGAGGGGTGAGAGAAATGAGGGGCAGCCTTGGGGTCTGTCTTACATAAATTAATCTCCTCTAACTGGGTTGTGACTCCTTGAAATGCAATGGCCTCGTCCCAGGGCCTCATGTGGGCTTTTCTTACATTTGTTTAACTGAACTGAAAAGAAATACGGGACCCAGAGCATCAGTTACCATTTTGCCAGGTGTAGCTATGGGCAGAAATGTCAGAAAAGCTCTGTTCGAATTCTTCTTTGAATGCCAGCGACTCAGTCTGAAACTGTCAATGGAACCTTGGACTCTGTCTCTCTCTCTCTCCCTTCCTATCTCCCTCTCTCTTTCACCTCTCTCTCTTTCTCTCTCCTCTCTTTCTTTGTGGGTATAGTAAAGAATCCCAGGGAAATCTACTAAGGGACATGAATAACCCTCATTTAATGACTTACCTGTTTAATGACTGTTCAAACTTACGATCTTTTCTTTTTTGTATAGTTCTATACATCTTGTTTGCAGAGCCTTAATGTCTTTTTTCTACAATACCCCTTGTTTATACGGCACTGTAAGTTTTGTTGATTGCACAGTGTAGTACAGTATTGTAGTGTATGCTCTATTATAATTATAGTATTGCATGTAAGATTTACACAAATGAAAGCAAAATCATCAAGTTGGAGTTTTCTTTGACCACTTCTTTTTGTTTTGAATATTGCATCGTTCACACTACAAGCAATTCCTCATCTGGTGACAAATTCAATTAACAACCCAGTTACAGGAATGTAAGTCGATCATTAAATTAGAAATGTCTATATTTTACTAACAAGCAAATACAGTTTTCACATCTTTTTCGTTACTGCTATCATACTTAAATTTATCGTCTTACAATTTTGTGTGTGTGTATTGGGGATCAAACTCACCACCTCACACTTGCCAGGTAGGCGCTGTGCCACTATATCCCTGGCCCCTATAAATTAGTTTAAAACCAACAATTAACCAGCTGTAGAAAGCACTGATAAGCATATCATTTCCCGACAACTTTAATATAAGTGTGATTACAGGTTCTGTGTCCCTCAGCTTTCCACATTTGTGACAAAATACCTATCAGAAATCAACTTTTTTTTTTTTTTTGGTTGGTTTCAGAGGTCTCAGTCCATAGGCACTGAGCTCCTTTGTTTCTAGTCCATCGTGAAGAGGAACATAGTGGCAAGGAACATGGGGGAGGGGCTGTTCACCTCATAGCAGACAGAAATACAGAGACAGAGAGAGAACCAGGGAGCGTGAGAGGAGGCGACGGGAGACAAGGTTTGTGCCCAAGGTGCTCCCCCCATCCTCCTCCCTTCAGCTAGGCTGTCTTTTCAGTAATGTCATCCAGTTGAGTACCTCAGTGAACTGACCTGCTGATAGGGTTAGAGACCTCACACCCAGTCCCCTCTCTGAACACTTCGACACCCAGGACCAAGCCCCCACCACCTGAGCCCCAGGGGATGAATCCTGCGCAAACCACAGCAGACCTATGTCCATTTTTTTTTTTTTTTTTGTGGTACCAGGGATTGAACTCATGACCTTGCACTTGCCAGGCAAGCACTTATGCCCCTGAGCTAAATGCCCAGCCCCCTATGTCCATTTTTATACCCTACACAAAGAAACCCAAGACACAAGAAAATCTTCAAAGCAAATAAATTTGTGCAGGTACAAATGTCAAGTGGTTTTGATTCTCTTTATCCCGAAGATAATGAGCCAGCTTTCAAAAGACTGTCAATTATTAGAAGTCTAAAAAAAGTTATTAGAAGTCTGTCTTGGATCAGCTAGTGCTGATTGTTTGTCTTGGCTCTTATTAAAATAACCCAGAGAAAGAAGTGAAGCCCTGTTTCCACTATTTATTCATTTAAAAGGTGGATACCTTGCCAGTCTGTAGCTTTGTGTCCCCCTCAAATTCATCTGCTAAAATTCTAACCCCGAGGTAATGGTGATAGACAGTCAGGGCCTGTGGAGGTGATTAGGTCCCAAGGGTGGCGTCAGAGTGGCATTAGTGCTCTTATGAAAGAGGCTTGGAGAGAGTTTTGTGGT